TATACACACAAACCTACATCTCACATATACGCACAAACATACACCTCACATATACACACAAACCTACATCTCACATATACACACAAAGCTACGCTTCACATATACGCACAAAGCTACGCCTCACATATACGCACAAACCTACACCTCACATATACACACAAAGCTACGCTTCACATATACACACAAAGCTACGCTTCACATATACACACAAACCTACATCTCACATATACACACAAACCTACACCTCACATATACACACAAAGCTACGCCTCACATATTCGCACAAAGCTACACCTCACATATATACGCACAAAGCTACACCCCACATATACACACAAACCTACATCTCACATATACGCACAAAGCTACACCTCACATATATGCACAAACCTATACCTCACATATACGCACAAACCTACACCCCACATATACACACAAACCTATACTTGACATATACGCACAAACCTACATCGCACATATACACACAAAGCTACGCCTCACATATACGCACAAACCTACATCTCACATATACGCACAAAGCTACACCTCACATATACACACAAACCTACACCTCACATATACGTATAAACCTATACCTCACATATACACACAAACTTACACCTCACATATACACACAAACCTACATCTCACATATACACACAAACCTACATCTCACATATACACACAAAGCTACACCTCACATATACACACAAACCTACACCTCACATATACACACAAACCTACACCTCACATATACGCACAAAGCTACGCCTCACATATACGCACAAAGCTACGCCTCACATATACGCACAAACCTACGCCTCACATATACACACAAAGCTACGCCTCACATATACGCACAAAGCTACGCCTCACATATACGCACAAACCTACGCCTCACATATACACACACACAAGCTACGCCTCACATATACACACAAAGCTACGCTCACATATACGCACAAAGCTACGCCTCACATATACACACAAACCTACGCCTCACATATACACACAAAGCTACGCCTCACATATACGCACAAAGCTACGCCTCACATACACACAAAGCTACGCCTCACATATAAACACAAAGCTACGCCTCACATATACGCACAAAGCTACGCCTCACATATACGCACAAGCCTACGCCTCACATATACGCACAAAGCCACGCCTCACATATACACACAAACCTATGCTTACATATCGCACAAACCCATCGCACATATACACACAAAGCTACGCCTCACATATACGCACAAAGCTACGCCTCACATATACGCACAAGCCTACGCCTCACATATACGCACAATGCTACGCCTCATATATATGCACAAAGCTACGCCTCACATATACGCACAAACCTACGCCTCACATATACGAAAACCTACCTCACATATGCACACATACGCCTCACATATACGCACAATGCTACGCCTCATATATATGCACAAAGCTACGCCTCACATATACGCACAAACCTACGCCTCACATATACGCACAAAGCTACGCCTCACATATAAATGCAAAGCTACGCCTCACATACACACAAAGCTACGCCTCACATATAAACACAAAGCTATGCCTCATATATACGCACAAAGCTACGCCTCACATATACGCACAAAGCTACGCCTCACATATACACACAAAGCTACGCCTCACATATACACACAAAGCTACGCCTCACATATACACACAAAGCTACGCCTAATATATACACACAAACCTACGCCTCTCATATACACACAAAGCTACGCCTCATATATACACACAAAGCTACGCCTCACATATACACACAAACCTACGCCTCACATATACACACAAAGCTACGCCTCATATATACGCACAAAGCTACGCCTCACATATACGCACAAAGCTACGCCTCACATACACACAAAGCTACGCCTCACATATAAACACATAGGTACGCCTCACATATACACACAAAGCTACGCCTCATATATACACACAAACCTACGCCTCACATATACACACAAAGCTACGCCTCATATATACACACAAACCTACGCCTCACATATACACACAAAGCTACGCCTCATATATACACACAAAGCTACGCCCCTATACACAAACTACGCCTATATACACACAAAGCTACGCCTCATATATACACACAAAGCTACGCCTCATATATACACACAAAGCTACGCATCATATATACACACAAAGCTACCCCTCATATATACACACAAAGCTACCCCTCATATATACACACAAAGCTATGCCTCATATATACACACAAAGCTACGCCTCACATATACACACAAACCTACACCTCAGATATACACACAAACATACACCTCACATATACACACAAACCTACACCTCAGATATACACACAAACCTACACCTCACATATACACACAAACCTACACCTCAGATATACACACAAACATACACCTCACATATACACACAAACCTACACCTCAGATATACACACAAAGCTACGCCTCACATATACACACAAACCTACACCTCAGATATACACACAAACCTACACCTCACATATACACACAAACCTACACCTCAGATATACACACAAACCTACACCTCACATACACACACAAACCTACGCCTCACATATACACACAAACCTACACCTCAGATATACACACAAACCTACACCTCAGGTATATGACAAACCTACACCTCACATATACACACAAACCTACGCCTCAGATATACACACAAACCTACACCTCACATATACACACAAACCTACGCCTCACATATACGCACAAAGATCCCTACTTACTTATTAATATTATTGGTATATAATCTAATAGGAGTATTTTTTCTGAGCAAATAAAGACTTTATGTCTAATGATATGGATTTTTAAATCTCCATTTCCCAAACACACACACACACACACACACACACGCACACACACACACACACACCCTCACAATTCCTGACATGCTGGCAGACACGCAGCTGGAGAAACATGCTGCTTCGTTAGGATCGGCTAAACATAATCCTGACATCATTACACCAGTGTGTGTGTGTGTATCTCAGTATTATTCATTATAAAAGACTGAGACACACAATACTCACACAGTGAGACTTCATTGCCCTCTATAAAACATCACAGTATGAATAGCAAACATAGCAGCAACATTAAATCTCATTATTCAGTAACTGTTATGCATTATTATGTATCCACAGTGACTAATTCAGTGTTTACTATGAATTATTCTGTGACTACAATGAAATATTCAGCTCATGTGTGTCAGCGGTGTCCAGTCTCATCTACAAGTGCCCAGTGTGACAAAAGCTGCCAATTCTGAAATAATTGTTTTTATGATGTCACAAAAAACAAAGCATTTCCATTTCTATCCACATATTCAGTGTAGAGCACTTTAATCCCGTTCATTCACACTGAGGCAGTGAAGAGAGTTTCAGCCGCGCTGTTTTCTGAATGAGGCTCAGTACAGGGCCTTTTACAGTAACCCAAGGCCAAACATGAGAAGTTTGACGGTTGAGAGAAAATAATAGCAGGATGTGCAGAGCAGAGACTCACAGTGAGAGATTAAAGAGGAGCAGCCGAGCGGCAGAGCTTCTCGCTTTCATATCGCAGAAACACATCTCCTCCCTCATCTCTGAATTACGGCATCCTCGGTCTCCCCCTGTGTCCCCTGTGGCCTACTTCCATCATCTCTCTCTCTCTCTCTCTCTCTCTCCTTTTTTGTCCTACTCTTTTCCAACATTTATCTTTTCTTTCTTTTTTCTTTCTTTATTTTTTGTGATCCAAAATCTCTCCCTGTCTCTACTCTCATTCTCTCTTTTTCTTTCCCCCTTCTCTCTCACTCCAATTTTCTTTATTCCTCTTTCTTTGCTTCTATTTTCTTCTATCCTCCTTTTTCTTTTTGTCTTTCTTTTTCTTTAGTTCTTGCCTCTCTTCTAACATCTCTCTAACTCTCTATATCTCTCCTGCTTTATTATTATTTATGTCCACCTCCTTGTTTCTACGCTTATTGTCCATTTTATCAGCTCCACTTACTATATAGGTGCACTTTGTAGTTCTACAGTTACAGACTGTAGTCCATCTGTTTCTCTGATACTTTGTTAGCCCCCTTTTACCCTGTTCTTCAGTGGTCAGGACCCCCATGGACCCTCACAGAGCAGGTACTATTTGGGTGGTGGATCATTCTCAGCACTGCAGTAACACTGACGTGGTGGTGGTGTGTTAGTGTGTGTTGTGCTGGTACGAGTGGATCAGACTCAGCAGTGCTGCTGGAGTTTTTAAACACCTCACTATCACTGCTGGACTGAGAATAGTCCACCAACCAAAAATATCCAGCCAACAGCGTCCTGTGACCACTGATGAAGGACTAGAGGATGACCAACACAAACTGTGCAGCAGCAGATGAGCTATTGTCTCTGACAAGGTAGGAGTGTCTAATAGAGTGGACAGTGAGTGGACACAGTGTTTAAAAACTCCAGCAGCACTGCTGTGTCTGATCCACTCGTACCAGCACAACACACACTAACACACCACCACCACGTCAGTGTTACTGCAGTGCTGAGAATGATCCACCACCCAAATAGTACCTGCTCTGTGAGGGTCCATGGGGGTCCTGACCACTGAAGAACAGGGTAAAAGGGGGCTAACAAAGTATCAGAGAAACAGATGGACTACAGTCTGTAACTGTAGAACTACAAAGTGCACCTATATAGTAAGTGGAGCTGATAAAATGGACAATGAGCATAGAAACGAGGAAGTGGTCAGAATGTTATACCTGATCAGTGTATGTATACCGAGCATGGTGTGTGTGTGTGTGTGTGTGTGTGTGCGTGTGTGTGTGTGTGTATGTGTGTATGTACATATACTCTTTCTTTCTTTTTTACTCTTTATTGCCTGGAGGCAGTTCCGGGCTCTCTGTCCATCTCCGTGTTATATATCACCCTTATTTTACATCCTCTATCTCTGTGAGCGATCGTGCTCCATTTTATTCCTCCTGCAGTGTTTCTTTCTCACCTCTGCATTTATTCTTTTCTCTCTTTCATCCTCCACCCAGCAACATCAGCAGCTCTGTTGTCTCCTCCATCCCTGCATCATTATTTTCTCTTTTCATTGGACTCATGTTTCTCATCTCTTTTCACAAGGCCTCCTATTTTTCACTCCCTCAGCTCTTCCTTCAATACGGGTATAAAAAGAACAGAATAAAAAAACAGTAATCCGGTTGGGTGAGTTACAAACACAAAGCCTGTGATCACATGACATTTATATATTTATTTACATCTCTGAGCTACACTGTTACAGAACATAGCAGCCATTCGGAGATGTAACCTTCTAATAGATCTCTGCTTTTGGTATCCACTTACTGGCCACTTTATTAGAAACCCCTACCTGAACATCCATTCACTGACCACTTTATTAGAAACCCCTACTTTGTACTTCCACTCACTGGCCACTTTATTAGAAACACTTACCTTGTGCCACTCACTGGCCACTTTATTAGAAACCCCTACTTTGTACTTCCACTCACTGGCCACTTTATTAGAAACACTTACCTTGTGCCACTCACTGGCCACTTTATTAGAAACCCCTACTTTGTACTTCCACTCGCTGGTCACTTTTATTAAAAAAACACACCTCGTACTTCTAATAAAGTGTCCAGTGAGTAAAAACACCTACCTTGGACGTTCACTCACTCACTGGCCACTTTATTAGAAATACCTACCTTGGACGTTCACTCACTGGCCACTTTATTAGAAACACTCACCTTATACATTCAGTATTAACAGTATATGTACAATGTCAGAGTGCAGCATGAGTGTAGGTGAATCATTTTTAGCCCCACTCTGTGGTGAGAATTGACCAATGATGAAAAGGGTGTGTGGGGGAGGTGTGATAAATTGTGCACCTATAGTATATATATATTTATATATATATATGCATAATATAAATGTTCTTGCCACACTTTCATAGTATATTACGTTTCTCCTGATGTTTTCTAGGATAAAAAGTCTTCATCTGTGCTGTATGTGCTCTTTGTGCATTCTCCACATTGGAGTCTACAGTGAAAGGTGAGTAAGTGGAGCCTCCTACTGGCCATTGTGAGTATTTCAACTTTTTCGCTTACATAACAGACATTTAACCCACCACACACACACATAAGGCTTAACTGCACCTTCAGCAGTATGACTGTAGAAGCTGTGTAAAGTCCAGTTGTACATGTAAAGCAGTCCAGCTGTATATACAGAGGGTTTTTATTATGTCTTATCTGGTAAGATTAGTGAGGAGAAAAAGCTTTGAGGTTGAAAACAATCGTTTTACGGGACGTGACTGTTTTCATTTCGAAATTTGGACTGATCCTTACGCAAAGAGCTGCTGTCTGCCAGGCCGCTGCAGGAATGGTGTGGCATTTACCGTAAAAGCTAGTTATGGTTTCCATAAGGCACGACTACATGACAGGCTTTGCTAACCGAGCTTAATTCAGTGTGTATACGGATCAGAACCTCGACTCATTTGTGCCAGTCTTGCTCTCTGGTGTTATTGTTTCCACTGGGCAGGAAAAAGCAAAGGCAGACAGTAAATTACAGATTGGGCACAAGCTGCGGCTGACATTAGCAAATAAAAACGCAAGCGGTGGCAAGCTAGCCAGAGGGTGGAAAGGGGAGAAAAGCTAATTTAGTGCTGGACATGTGGGTGACTTTCATGCTGGTCAGGAAAGTGAGGTTTTACTGAAAATGGCAGTGTGACACAACATGACATGGCCAATGGAGAATTCCTACAACATGGGAGAGGAGAAAAAAAGAGAGGAGAGAAGAGTAAAGGAGAGAAAAGGACTACTAAGAGGACAGAAAAAGAGGAACGAGAGAGCAGGAAAAGAGAGGAGAGTAGATGAAAATAAAAGAGGAGAGAAGAGAAGAGAAGAGAAGAGAAGAGAAGAGAAAGTGGAAAAAAGGAGGAGAGGAAAAGAAGAGAGAAGAGGAAAGTGGAGACAGGAGAATAGAAGAGAAGAGAAGAGAAGAGAAGAGAAGAGAAGAGGAGAGAATAGAAGAGAAGACAGGAAAAGAGAAGAGGAGAGGAGAGAAGAGAAGAGGAGAGAATCGAAGAGAAGACAGGAGAAGAGAAGAGAACACAAGAAGAAAACACTAAAGAAGAGAAAAAAAAAGCAAAAAGAAGAGAAGAGAAAAGAACACAGGAGAAGAGAAGATAACACAGGAGAAGAGAAGAGAAGAGAAGAGAAGAGAAGAGAAGAGAAGAGAAAAGAACACAGGAGAAGAGAAGATAACACAGGAGAAGAGAAGAGAAGAGAGGACGAGTAGAGAAGAGAGGAGAAGAGCAGAAAAGAGAAGGAAAGAGAGGAAAAGAGGAGAGAAGAGAAGAGAAAAGTAGAGAAGAGAGGAAAAAAGCGGAGAGGATTTCTCTGACCTACTTACAGCTGCTCTGTGCTGAACCTACTGCACCCCTGAAACACAGAACTCTACAGAATGACTTTTTCTAATAAGAGCTGCAGCTTTTTGGCGAAGAGTATTTTTCCTTGGGGAGAGGAGACTGAAGTCCCCGCAACCACTACATGTTCATGTTTGTATTGAACTGGAGGGGTTTGGTCCCTTCAAAGAGACAAATACGTAGACATATACACACACTTACATCCTGCAAGTGGGTCAGTCGCTGCTACTGAGTGCAGCTGGTCACTAACTTGAACAATCCAAGATCATAATGAACTGGCTGCCTCGCAACAGGTGTGGTCATTTTCACCTCATGCGCGACACACAGGTCAGTCCATGTATGCCGGACTACATGATTATGTTTCATACAGTAAGGACTTTCGCTTTTGTTCAGATTCATTCATCAGCGCTGATCCTGTGTGCAGAAGCTCAGACTAAACTGTGCTGCAATATGTAATTTCCTGTGGATGAGCTCTGCTGGTGCGTCACTAATTTCCATCCACAAATAAATCCAAGCCTGGAGATCTAATTAGGCCTATTACCTACCAGGGATCACACCACGGTGATTAAAATGCATTTGTGTGGTTACAGAGCAGAGATGAGTCAAAGAGAACAGTCGCAGAGGCCTAAATGAAGCCCAAAACTGTCATTACTGACATCGAGATTAAAGAAATAGTTCAGAAAAAATTTAAAATTTTAATTTACACAGTCTTCCCCTTTACATCAAATGTATAATAGACAGCCAAAACATATTTAGTGTCTGAAGTTCGCTTCGTCAGTTTTTACTCTGGAGCTACGAGGCTTACACACTTAAAAAAGACGGTTCTTCAAAAGTTCTTAAGTGAAAAAAAAATAGTTCTATGTAGAACTATGAACACTCAAAGAACCTTTTGCATGATTAAAGGGTTCTTTGCATTGTGAAATCGTTCGTCAGACTGATGAAAAGTGTGTTTTATATAATTCTATGTAGAACCTTTTTGAAAAACGTTCTATACAGCACCAAAAAGGGTTCTTCTATTGTTACAGTGTTGACGTCATAACAGTAGAAGAACCCTTTTTTGGTGCTACATAGAGCCCTTTTCAAAAAGGGTATCTGTAGAACCACTTAAAACTCTCTCTCACAATCTGAAGAACCTTTTAACGATGCAAAGAACCCTTTAATCATGCAAAGGGATATTTGAGTCTTTGTGGTTTTATGTAGAACCTTTTTGAAAAGGGTTCTATATAGCATTGGCCACTCATAACACTGACATCATAACAATAGAAGAATTCTTTTTGGTGCTATATTAGCATTATATAGAACCATGTACAACACATTCTCCATCAGTCTAAAGAACGATTTTACCATGTAAAGAACCATTTAATCGTGCTAAGGGTTCTTTGGGTGTTCATGGTTCCGTATAGAACTATTTTCTTTAATAAAGAACCCTTGAAGAACCATGTTTTTTAAGAGTGTATAAGTAATGAATGAAGCTTAACTGCTTGCCTACATCATCACACACTCCTCACAGAATGTGTGGGGTTGTTTTAAAGGGGAAGTCCACCAATTATCCAAATTTCCTGCATAATTAAATGGTAAACAGAGTCATTCAGAGTGGTTTGGTGTGAAACGCTCTGTTCTAGAGAAACTTACAGAGTCAGAACTGTTCACAGTGGTGGTGATAGGAACCAGACGTCCACCTCCAAAAGCTCCCTCACAGAAAGTTACTACATGAAGTGGTTATGAATTCAGTGCCTGATGTCTGAGACACTGTTTTAATAAATTTGTTTTTTGACCTAAAATGTATTTATTAAAATCCATGCATGGTGGAGGGATACTTGCAGGGAGTTGTGAGGCAAAATAGTCCCCAAAGAAAACGTATTATTCCTGATTTTCCACTATTTCACCATCACATTCCATATAAACTCAGAAGACTCGTGTAGGTTCACTGGTGGTTCTGGATAGTAAATAAAATGTCTATATTTGTGTTGTAGTCATGGCGACCCCTGGTTCCTATCACCACCACTGTAAAAACATCTGAACCATTTCACACCAAACCACTCTGAATCACTCTGTTTACACCTCACACACTGAATTATGCAGAAAGTTTATAGAAAAATGCAGAAAAATTGGTGAAATTTCCCTTTTAATAAATCTCTAATAGATTGGCTTCTGTGGTTTCTGACACTGTATAACACACTGTTATCTATGAACATGGACAACATTCAGGTGACTCCTGCTACTGTTTTTAGCTACACTATATGTGCAAAGGGTTATCTTATTGATGAATTCGGCTACTTTAAGGTCACCCTTTGCTGATACAGGTGTTCAGTAACACAAACTGCTTGTATAATCTAAACAGAAAAGCACTGACCACTTAAATGGGACACTCTGGAGCAGCCAAACATGAGCCTAAGGCTACCATGTCCAAGGCCAAGTGTGGGCTAGAGGGATATAAAGCCTCCCAGCACTGGGCTGTGGAGCAGTGAAACAGTTCTCTGGAGTGATGGAGCTCCATCCAATACCTTTGGGATGAGTTTGTGATCCAGACCTTCCAACCATCCAACATCCAGACCATCCAACATCAGTACCTGACCTCACTAATGCTCAATCAAATCCTCACAGCAATGTTCCAACATCTAGTGTAAAGCCTTCCCAGAAGAGTAGAGGGCATACAAAGTATGTCTTATATCTATTATCTGTAATTACAATATAATGCAGTGCATTATGTAATGCTGTTCCTTTAAGAGGGATACAGAATCATGATTGAATGACAGATTAAAGCAGGTCCACATGTGCAACTCTTTGGATGTTTATGGCGTACTGGAGACTCATTTACATGCTCAATGAGGGCGTTACACAACAGCATCAATAATCGATTAACCGCCCCCGCTGGCGTGCCGAATCAAACAGTTTAATAATTCATAAACGTTAAAGGATGATGACTCACATTCTGGGGAAACCTGATTACCCCACTGATAAATTACCATGGAGTTTTATCTGCCATTGAT